TTGCATGTTAAACTGTATATTAATATAAATTAAAAAATATAAATAATATATATATATATATATATATATATATATATATATATATATATATATATTACACACAAAGTAATTCAATATCAAAAATGTAAACGTAAGTTATTGATCAAGCAATAATTACAAAATAATTATTACACAAAGGTAGTACACAACAACAACACCATCCAACATGGCTCCCAACTTGAACTCCTCCTCCAACTTGTCTTTGTCTTACTCTCTTACCAAGTATGATCATCATAGTCCAACCATAAGAAAACATATAAAAGTAAACTAGTAATTCAAAATAGTCAACAAGTATAAAAGAGTTATATAACTATACTACAACTCAACATACACCAACAATTATCCACTTGAAATTCAACTATTCAACGCAACATGATTTCAACTTACAACACCAATCATACATCAACCTATCTTCAAAGTATGTGAACAACACAATATGATCAACAACATTGCAACTTATCCACATAACATTATAGCATATGCAACACACAACTAAATAGTTTAACCACATACGCATAACATGTATGGTCACACATTCAACTTAAAGATCTCTTACAAATCAAATGAGCATTTTAAGTGATTTGGTCCTACTAAACTAACTAACGATGCAATCATTTTACACCATCTAGATCAATAACTAATTTGGATAATCAACATGCCTTCTTGGATTTTGTCATTTAAACTATGAAAGTTTAGTATTCATGTTAGAACATAACAATTTGAGTGTGAATTTACCACGACCTAAACATGCATAATTAGGCCTCTTATGGGATTAGTCCATCGACTACCCTTTAAATATTACGTCTTTTTGGTACTTAATTAAGGATTTGACCCCAAGCTTTGTAACTTTCTTGGTTTGATCACTTTGTACACGTGTAACTCAACTTGGTTCCCATATGAATTAACATCCAGTCACTTTATAATCAGTATAACTCAAATTGACCCCTGTATTGTGGTCACTTATACACATTATGGCTCAACCTAGCCCTCATACCACATCAACTAAGGTCTTAAAGGAAACTCAATAATTCATTTCAATAGTCAACTTCTCAAGAAATATTTTCAATAACTAAGGTTGTAGAGCAGCACAACACAATATCTTCACAATGAGATATTAAACGTTAAAACAATTTATCATCTAATGTTAAATCAATTAACACAATACAATTTAATGCCTTAAGCATTCTCAACACAACCACCTCAACATTTCAATAAACAACTCAACTTATAACTATGAATGATTTCAGTCATCAATATACATTATCCTATATCAATGTTTAAAGAAATAACATCATATATCAGCATACAATATGTAATAGATTCAACTAACATATACATGTTTAACACTTATTCACAAAAATCAATATATCTTCATCAAGTAACCCACGTCTGACGTCATTGAGATAGAGAGCCTTTGGCTTGTCTATGCTTAACATCAATCTACTTGCGCCCAACATGAATGAGATAAAAAGCCTCCAACTCGCTCATGCTCGGCGTCAATCTATCTGTGCCCGACATGACTAAGACAGAGAACTCATGTGGCAATCACGCATAGCATGGCTAAGCCCAAGCCCAACCTCATTTCAAGCAAAGAGCCTTTGCCTAACTCATGCCCAGTGTCATAACATGAGCATCCAATATCGTCTAGGTAGAGAACTTTTATCATGATCACGCTTAGTGCCACTCAACTGGAGCTCGACATCACCAAGTCAAAGAATTCCAAAGGCACCTATACTTGATGTCATTCAACCCACGCCTAACGTTCGTGAGGTAGTCTAGCGTCTTAAAGCTGTAGATGATGCGATAATGAATTTTGCACTTAGAAGATTCATGAAATTGACTCTCTTCACCTAAAAATTAAGAAACCCAAGCATGCAATACAATAAGACATATCTATTCATCATAAACAACTAATTTTTCACCAAGATAGTAACATGCAACAACGAATTGGCTAGGATCACTAATTTCACCTTAACACACTTCAAAACACCAAAACTAACCATACACCAATTACATCTCAAGAATTCAACAATGCAACCATGGCTTTAATGAAATCAAATGACGATCAACTTCATGAATCAACAAGAAATCATATTTTAGTTTTCGTTACCTCTAACCCTAAGAGAAAAAGAGAAAAAGGAAGAACGAAAATTCTTTGAGGCAACTCTGCACAATGATCCTCACAACTAGATTCTCGATTCTCCAACACCTTGAAACCAAATACAACAAATCAACCACACTCTAAAGAAGGATTTGATGCTCAAAGAAGTCAACAAGAGGAAAAGAAATCTTACTAACTTTATAGTGCTTCTCTCTAGACTATCACTTTGAATCTCTCTTTAAGAATGAACTTATGAATCTCAAAATCTTAAAGAAAATCTTATATACCTTCTCCTACAGGTCAAACTTAACTTTTACTCAGAAAAACTTCTAAACAACTAAACCTCATAAGAATTCTTGAATTTTTAAAGTTTCTCAACATTAAACAAAAAAAACACCACAACACTTAATTTAATAAAATCAACAATTATTAAATAAAATTATACAATGTATTACAATAATTAACATAAAATGACAATAACCAAAATAAAAAGGATAATGTTTACGAGGATAATTTTTAAAATAGTATGATAACTAAAATACAACATATTACAAAGATAAAAACATATTTATACATTGACATTATCTTATAAAAACACTAGTTTGTTTAATTTTTTATATATAATATCAATAGCATCAATTAAATACTATCTTAATATTTGTATTTGATTTATTTTAATAATACACACATATATATAT